ATTAAACGTAATATGAATAAAACATTATAACGTAATATATTTAAATTATTGCACTTACTTGTATAAATCATAAGAGCTTGCCTTTGCACTGAATAGTTTCAAACAGAGCGCTTATATATGCTCAGAATGATTGCTTCGAACGATTGTTCAAATATGGCGAATAAATTGACAAAACGAAAATATTACATGACGTTCCAACGAAAGTAACAGCAAGGATTGCGGGCGCGCGAGCAAGCGAAAAGGCGAGGGAAGAAATAAATAGAAGGGATGAAACAAATATCACGTGACTTTTAAAAATGCTTCTAGACTATCCGTTTAAGCTTTTTGTGGGGTTTTTAAGGCTCAGTCGATGTTCTCTTACATGAACAAGCCTAGTCATTACCAAAAAAGCACTGATCAATCTAATTTATGTGATTTATAACAGCGAGCATTCTTGGCCATTATCGCGAGATGTGTTCCATAAGTAGCCTATTCTCGTGACGTATGACGAAATAATAATAAAACTAAATAATGTAAAAAAAAACGTTGGTCGCTACATTTAAACATTTCATATTAGCCGGTATAGCTAAACATTGTTTATTTTCATTAATTAAGCGCTTAGGCGTTGTTGGAGTTGGCAGGAGGAGTTTTGGAATTTTCCGAGAGAACAGGCTACTTATGGAACACATCACACGATCGCATTACCGGTGTTTCATCCCTTCTATTAATATCTATTACCCTCGCCTTCCGCTCACGCCCGCAATCCTTGCTGTTATTTTCGTTGGAACGTCATGTAATATTTTCGTTTTGTGAATTTATTCGCCATATTTGAACAATCGTTCGAATCAAGTGTTTCTGAGCGATTTTCTGAGCGTGTATAAGCGCCCTGTTAAAAGCTATTCACTGCAAATACAAGCTCTTATGATTTATACAAGTAAGTGCAATAATTTAAATATATTACGTTATGATGTTTTATTCATATTACGTTTAATTAATGTTTTATTCATATTCATAACACAGCTCTTAGTTGGACCCCCTGTGGCTAACCTTGTAAATTTCAGGAAAATTTCAGGAATTTTAAAAGTATTTCAGATCTTGCATCTTGCAGTGAATTCTAGTATGCTGCGTCATTGCATGTAGAATGACTAAAGATTTGACAATTCACATAGATACATGTAGTATCAATGAATACGTTGTATAATTTTATACTTGGAAGAAAGAATTCTTCGACACTTTATGTGACTGGCAATGCTGCGGACGAACCAGCTAGTGATGAAGTCGTCGATGAAAATGGTTTTGTGATGGTCAACTCTGGAGACAGACAGCAAGAAAGATGTATACAGGTATATTTAATATCACTGTTCTTTTTTTCACAATAAATGCGCATTATAAATTGTGAATATTGCCACTACAACACTGGACACACAGTGGTTGCTTAATTTCTGGTGGCGACATTCGTGTGATGACACGTATGTGATGTTCAGAACTGAACATCCGTCCAGCATTAACTGTGGTCCAGTAAATCCGTCCAGCATTAACTGTGGTCCAGTAAATATCCAACTAATGGATGAAATTGAAAATCAACATGCGATTACAACAATAGGAGATGTTTTTAAATGATGTCAAACGCTGAAAAATGCTTAATGCGATGCCCAAAGGAACTTTTTTTAACGACAATTTGCAATGCAATTTGCAAAAGATGTTTTTATTAAATAAATTGGTTTTCCGCATTTGACGGCATTATAAGGGATGGCCGGGTCATAAAGTATTTACTAGGGGGTGTGGAGGATATTTTTTGGGGGTACAAAAAAAAACCCAGAACATCTGAGGGAGGTGTGAAAAAACTATAGAACCTCTAGGGGAGTACCAAAATCTTAGTACTATAGGTACGGAAAAAAAATTACATTTTATAATTGTTGAAATTGAATGTATTTGTGCCGAGATTTTTAAAGTCTGGAAAGAATTGTTGTACTATAATTCTGATTAAATCAACACAAAGTATATATGTTTCAGTCTGACTCAATGTTAGATGATAATGCACCTATCATCGTCTTGCCCAAGGGGGGTAACCCCGGGACAAGGTCGGGTAAATGTGGGGATATACTGGGGGATTGTAACATAACTTTCCCCCCAGGAGTGGGGTAATTTTCAAACATTTAAAAACTACAGCTCCCAGGGGTCAGGAAATTGCAAACCATTTAAGCCGATGAATACCGCTGACCATGAATCTTAAACGCAAATTAGCAGCCATTTTGAAACGTCACTGTTGCCATAGCAATGATAGTTACACACTTTTTTGTTACAATCTTTGATTCTCCAAATCCTGCTATATACAAGTCTGTTAGTTTCATGTTTCTAACTAATAATCAATGTACAAGATTTCGGCTCTAAAACGAGTGTTTTACACTTTTCAAGAAATTGTATGGAGCCTCCTTAAATTAAAGTTACAAAATTCAACAAGACGGTTTTATTGGGTAATTGTTTCAATTTTTTATCAGTTCAATGGCAATATATTAAACTGGTACTTTGCTGACTGATGTTCAAATACGTTTTCTAATGTTGCTGTTGCTACTAAACTTTAGTACTGAAATTTAAATCTGCCCCACAAGCGTGTAAACGTACTCTCTGAAAAAGTATGCAAGATATATAATCCATAACAAGTCATCGATAGGCATGTCCCGGGGAATATAAATTTCCACACACCCTGGGTCCCGGGAAAATGTCCAACTTTGTTCCAGGTAGATTTTGCATTTCCCGAGGTTCGCCCGGGGTTACCCCCCTCGGGCAAGACGATGAACGGTGCATAAGTAGGATTCAGCATCCATGGAACTTTTGGAGTACAAATCTGATACATCTGAATTGTCAATGCTAGCAAGCTTGTACCGTGAGAACCTGATGAGGAAGTGTCACATTGAATGGAAGCAAATTTTTTTTCAGTTTGAAATAAGTAAAACCAAAAACAAATTTTTCTGTTTGTTCTTACACTCAGCCTATCCGCTAGTATGTCAGAATCAGAAAAGATTGGTGACAAATCGAAAGTGGAAAATGTTGAGGATGTGATTACCACTACAAGAAGTGGGGGAGCAGGGCCACCGAGAGGGGGGGCAGGGGGGGGGGGGAATTGCCCCGGGCCCTGAGTTTCTGGGGGCCCCTGAAAAATTTTTGTTGGGCCCCAGTCTTTCTTGTGTGTTAAATATTTCCACGTAAAGGACAAGATATCTGTTTTCTTGGGCTAAGTACCGAATTTTGGCATAAAAAAATGAGATAAAGTCCCTCGAAAGCAATTGCAACGTACTCGTCCTGAAAATTAAATGTTTCGAGGGAAATAGTTTGTTTTGTTTTCCGGACAGTCTCGTTATTTCCCAAGACGAAGTCAAGGGAAACATTGAGACTCGAGGGAAAACAAAACTAACTATTTCCCAAGGGAACAGACATTAAGCGTTTTGTTATATATCATACAACAATTGTATTTTGTGACAAAAACCCTATAGTGTAAACAAGTTAAAAATTAAAAGAACCTACTTAAACGGTTTCAGCATGCAGCATATCCTGTTGTGTAATTTTTCTTCTCTTTTACATTCTTTATTTGAACACAAACTTGGAAAATTGTAGTTTCTAATTATGCTAGTTGTGCTGCCATTTTGTTTATTTATGTGCGTAGCTGGTCGGGGCGGGCAACGATTTTTCACTTGTTGTCCGGCAGGTTACATTACATTTATCTGAAGTCATGTGACCACAAATCAGCCAATCACGTTTGGTGTTCACCCTAGCTATATATATAACAATGGTTCTTAACCAACATTGCCTCATGGCGGGATTTTGAGGGGAGGTGCTCACCTCCCCTGAGATCGTTTTGCACCTCCCCTGAGATTGTTTTGCACCTCCCCTGAGAATTTTTGCACTTCCCCTGAAAAGTCATGCACCTTCCCTTGGAAAAGTTTCAATGATAGATCAAAGTGAAAATTTGACATTTGTTTATTGCTTATGGTCTACACTACGTAAGAAAGTTTTTTCTGTAAAATTGAACAATGATTGGCAATTCATCTCTGTGTCAAGTATCCTTTTAATTAATGCAATATTTTGAAAGAAACTTTGTAGTAATTGTAATTGTATAAATGAGTAATTGTACAGTCATAATTCATTAATACACTGATACATATGTACACTACATGCATACGTCACATTGTTGACTTTGGCCCGTTCTGAGTCCTAACTTTCCATATATATATATATATATATATATATATATATATATATATATATATATATATATATATATATATATATATATATATATATATATATATATATATATATATATATATATATAACGAGTATATCTCCTGTTTTTTGCGTGGAGAATGTGAAAATATGACAATGTAGCGATGGTCAGAAGCAAACGAAAGTTTATTTTTATAATTTGACATTAGATCAAAAATCACGAGAAAATATCTCCAATGTTATTGATTCGCATGGAAAAATATGAACTACGCCTGCATGTGGCTCGAGAACAATTTTTCACTTGTTGCCCGGCGGATATACACTGCATAACAAAAATGCTTATTTATTAACTAGTTACAACTATACATTATTTGAAATTCCTTTCCTGCGATAATAAGATAAAATTGTCATTAGAGTCATTTGGTTCCCTCCCCTTAAGATATAGGTAAGTTTTTTTTTACCAATTACACGTCTATATATAAAGTCAATGTCATCACTTAATATGTTATAATTTATCAAAATTTGCTTGCATCATTGTGTTTCTTGACGAATACACAATGGAGAATGAAATTCATTAAAATGAGTATGTCGTCAAAGCATCTTTCACCAAAGCACATTTATAATGTTCCCTCTCATCCCTAGTAGCGTCAGCAAGGACCGTGGGAATATTACCACATAAAATGTTTTATCAATCATTGTTATTGTAACATCAGGGAGTTAATACTTCCGGCGGGAAAAACAGGCACCTCGAGGTGAACTGGACAGCTGTATTAAAAAGGGAGTTTTACGTAGCATAGTTGGGTTTTAAGGTTAAAATACTACATTTGGCGACGAGATAAAATGGCAAATCATGGAAAACTAGAAGAATATGACTCACAAGA